TTCGACAGTTGTTGTTCGTAGTTCCTCACAAAATTTGTCTGATATCAATCTCAATGATACAATGCAACAATTCGATTTCAGTACTGATCTGTATCTTCTAAACTTGATGCATGAATATACAAGTATAAACGGTAAATCTTGTAACATGTTGCAAGATTTTACTAATCTCGAAACAATTCCAAAATTACATACACTTAAAGTGAAGCATATGTTAGTTATGGATGAGTTCTGAGAGAAAGTGAGTAACATGACACTAGAAAGTCTAAGTTTTACTGGATGTGTTTTTCTCACTTCCAAAGGTACTGTGTAACAATCGGAAGGAATTAAGGTAGCTTTTGGAAAGTCATATGAGACTAATTGCTTCGATAAGTGCCAGAGCTGTTTTTACTATCCATTTTGTCTGGTAAGTAAAGAAAGTGTAATAATCAGAGTCAATCTAAATAACTACGTCAAACAGTGCAATCTGACGGTAAACATGGATCACTATGCGGATGTTGTACTCAGCAAACAAATAATAGATAGTCTAAGACATTTTACGTCAGATGAGACGAATTGTAAACTGCCGCTTTCGTCTTCTCAGTGTTATGGTGCTAGACTAGAGTATTTATCAATTAATACAAAAGATGTAGAGCACACTGATAATATTCTAAAGGAAATTAACCGAAGCAAATTTAAGCATTAAATATTGATTTGTTATGTTTGTGATGTTTCCAATTTATTTAACCTAGACTTTGCCGCTCTTGAAGTTTTAGAAATTGATGCTGGCGGTAGTAATTTGGAGTTGAAGGATAAGCGCACAATTGAAGTAAAAATGAAAATGTTAGAAGCGCTAAAAATTAAGTGCAATTTTATAAATGAAGAAATCATGCAAATGATAACTGAGTTGGAAATGTTGAAAGATCTTGAAATGCTTGTAAAAAGTTGTGACGTCAATTATGAACTTTTATGGAGACGACTAAGCAATTTGAAAGATCCAATAGAAAAACCTGTCGTCAGTTCTGATCAGACCATTAGTGAATTGGTAAGGTCGATAGAACCTTTGAACAAGCTAAAAGAATTTTACATGGACGGTAGATTCATTCAGTTATCGTTAGATAGCCTCGCTAATCAAAATGATGGTAAATGCCAACCCGCAAAAGTTGATCCTAATGGACAAAATTTGGTGGAGAACAGGAATGTGGTGCATCTAAAACTCCACGCTCTTCATATTAGCATATATTCAGCTTATGAAGAACTATTCGAACTTATGTCGTGTCAAGACTCTGAAGCTTTCGCGGATATTAAGAAACTGGTGATATTTGAAGCACCAACAGGTTCTTGGACAAGGTTAGAAAGAATTCAGAAGTTATCAGAACTTTCGCCAGATCTGCTAAATAACTTGATCGAAATTATTTTTGAGACGTTCAAACAGCTTGATGTACTTGTGTTCTGTTATAAGAGTTCTCGCATATTTAGAGAAAAGGCGCATATTCTTTATAAGCTTTTTTCAGAGAAGTGTAGACTGGTCAGGGAAAGATGCGAGTGGTCAGATAATTGCAATGAAGAACAAACAATCTTCGAGCTTCATAAGTAAAAATTAAGTTATTTTTCGATATTCTGGTGCTGATTATTTATCTTTTATGACTGTAATGATCTCAGGTTTCATTGTTCATGGTATTCAAAGCACCCCATAACATGTCATTGACATGTAACAGCAGAATGAAAGATGCTATCAATCTAAATGTAATGGATCGTATTTTTCTGCATATTATCAACGCCATTGCAGCAGAAAATTTGTTGATCTGAACATTCAGTAAAAGAAAATTATGCTCCAAAAATCAATTTTGTTATTTTGGTACGCAGAAAAACATTTGTGGATATAAAATTCATCCATGTTCATTTGTCACTTCAAATAATGTATCACTTTTGCAATTTGATCCAGAGATGAACTTTTTAAAAGATTAACAGCTAATTTTCGACTGGCAACCGCGCTTCTAAGTATACAAGAGAACGCATTTACAGAATGTATTTTCGCAAAATGTTTCAATGCGATGATTTCGGGAAGGCTTGATATTATTGAATCATTTAATGTGCAATACATCATCCATGATGCATCACTTATGTTATCCAGTTAGTGTATACAATTAGTTTAAACCATGGTGCCTAAATTTTTTCAAATTAATGTTTCTTGTTCTTCTTCGTTACCTTGTTTGAAAGTATTCTGCAGATATATTTGGATCATTTGAGTCTATTCGTTTATGAATACTTGTTTACCAATACCATCAATAAAATGATACCGTTACTTATTGGTATAGGACAAAGGTGGCGCCTGAAACTATACCAAAAATGTAAGTGATATTTTACAAGAAAACAATTCAAGTTTCAATTAATTACACCTAATATTTAATCACAAATTATTTCGGCTATTATTCATAAAATAGAAGGTATGTCAAGTCGGTCTGTAAAAAGTTCTTATCGTGTAAACTTCGTAACTTTTCATCGTTAAACTCAAACCAACTGTTATTCCGTTTTCCCATGGTGTAAAAATGTCCTTTGTTATTTTTCTTTCTTTTTCTTAAGATAATCGCACGTAGCTCATAAGTCTTATTTTTCAAAACCAGTTTTTCACTTGGTTCCAAAATTTGTTTGTTTCTATAGACGGGCTCCGCGCTTATTATGAGTATTTTCGGAAGTAGAAAATCATTGTCCTCAACAAAATTTTGAATTGATTCTAAATAGGAGTCCTTGTTAATATGTTTCTTCGACACAAGAATAATATGCCGCGCAGATTTCTTGAGAAAAAACGATTCGCTCTTGTTCTTCTTGAAATTTTCCTCATCTAAAAAAATATCTGTCTCTATCTCTTTCTCCAGGTTAATAGCGATAAACTCGACAAAATTTTCCGTGAATCCTGGTTTATTGTCATATTTGAAGAGCGAGTCACTCATTGTTGCGAGTTTACTGTACAATTCAAGCCTGTTCAGTGAGTCATTGTCTTTCATGTCATTCCAGAGATTTTTTATGTGGTACATTACTGTGTTATTCTTTGGTTCTAATGACTCAAGCATTGCAGTAAATGATTCACAAGAAAACAAAGATTGAAGAACAGAATTGATGTAACACACGTTATGGTGGTTTCTTAATCCACACACTATTGCTGTTCTTCTTCTTAGAAAATACATCGGTATTAAAAATAATAGGACAAGGAAAACAATAGTGAAAAGCGTTCTCCTCTTCGACATACCCCTTTTCTCGCTAGTCGTACTAATATTTTTACTATTTAGTATACCAATCACATTTCTACACCTATAAGAATGGGGATTAGACTGATAGAAATGGCAAAAGTTGATTCATCGACTTTAATTATAATTGGTGGCAATTTTTAAAAAAGATGCTATTGATACGGAATAGTATTGTAGAACAGCAATATGAATTGTTTTGGATTGTTGGCAAGGTCAATATCGCTACTACAATTGTATGTGCACCGTTAAGTAAATTCTCAAATTTATCCAATAAAAACGGAAGAATTTCTGATTTTAGCACCATTGGTAGTGTTGATAATAGCTTTTTTTAGATATATTCGTTCAACTCAAATATGCGATCTCAGTTTGTCACTGGAATAGGAAGAGATAGCAACTTTAATTTAAATGCTTGGCAGATATAATCTTGATAGCCAATTGTTATATTATTCATGGAAACTTAACAAAAAAACAATTGTAGAAGACGAATTGTTTATTAAAACGATAATCAAATGACTATGATCATAATAATCTATTCATTTCTCTGCATAAAAGGGGTAAAAACATATTCAGGTCAATTTAATACATTATGAAGACAGCAATAGTAATTTTTAAAAGAACTAATTAACCGTAGACATAAATTACCTGTTGCTATCTGCATATTTCCAAAACCAATTAAATGCTAACTGCTCCTTTATACGTACAGTGATTATAACTCTATTGGTTAAATACTTTTTTCCTTAAAGGAATTATTGTTGCTTGGCAATTATAATCATAGTGAATTTCATTGGCGCTCTACAACAATATTGATGTTCTTGCCATCGGCGAATACAATCATTTTTCAAAATAATAAATTGATAATGTCAAAGCATGTGAATGTTTGATTGTGATACACAGTTTTTTATGATTCGATCGCAAGCGTATCTTAGGTTTACCAATGCTTTGTCATCGTTTGTTAGAGACAATTTTGCCAATTCACTTCGCTTCAACACATGTTTAATTCGTTAAACCATGTACGCAATATATTTATTTCTAATTTTAGAATAGAGTGTACTGTCTGATTCTTAAAAAGATTGTTTTATCAATTGTTACCATATATGTATTCATGAAGATACCAAGCAATGTCATGGACGGTCTTTCACATTTATAAATATATTTTGAAGTCAATAATTCTTTTGCCGGTGTTAGACAATACCTCTAAGACATCTGTTAATAATAATTTTATTGAAATCATTTTTAATAGCTGGTTAATTAGCTCTTATGTTGGTGTTCCTTCTGTGAACTACTCAGAACTTCTGATTGTACTGAGCGTAGATCTGGCTCTAACATCGCATAGGCTGGATTGCATTTCTCTTGTCATAGTCGCCCCTGCTTTCGTAGTTACCGATTAAATGTCTATTAATAGAGAGATTTATGACAACACCAACATAAAAGACTGAGCATAGTTATATTAATACCTATATCACATCATTCGGTCAATATGTGACCGATATATATAATTCGGCGATTTTCTGCATGATAAACACATTTCACCACCATTTCTAAGTCTATAAACGATATAAATCATATCGTTAGTTCATCCCAAAGGTACATTGTAGTTATTTTTTAGGAACTACATCGCCGTGCCAGCAGTATCAATTCCTAAGAAACCGACGTATGTAAGGTCGAAAGACTGAAACTGGCAGTAATGTTAGAGTGTTTATTGTTCAGGTTTAACAAATCTAACTAAAAACCGGCAAGAATACGAAGGATTTCTAATATAATATCATATAGTTGGCTTAAAGAATATCCTCTTTACTTATCAGATAAAAACTTTGAATTCATCTTCAATTTGCTTTTTGACGGCAAACAACGCTTTCTCCAATCCATCACCGTACTCAAATTTCATTTTCATGAGTTTGATAAACACATCGTTGGTTTTTTTGCGTATTTTGTCCCACAAGATACCATTTTGAATACATCTAAGTGAGTTTTGGTAGTAAAGAATGATGTTGCTCAACATAAGCCTTGTCTTGAGGAATGGCGAGTAGTGGTCATACTCAGAATATCCATTTTGCTGTAGAAAGTCTTCTTTGATCAGTTTCGATACGTCTAATGTAAGCTTATCTCGTTCGCTCAATGAATTTCTGCCGACCAATTGAACAATTTCATTTAAATCGTCGTCCATTTGTAAAATCTCCTTACATAGCTTTCTGTCGGTAATGAACCTGGGATCGATTCTGTTGTAGTATTCCTCAAGGCTCTTAATGTATTTAGAATAACTCAGATTCCAATTTATCGAAGGAAAATGCTTCCTTTGTGCCAATTTTTTATCCAATCCCCAGAAGACTTGCACAATTGCGAGTGTAGCTGCTGTAACTGGATCCGAAAAGTCCCCACCTGGTGGTGATACGGCACCTACAATCGTAACACTGCCATTTCTCGCGTCACTGCCAAGCAGCTCACACTTACCTGCTCTTTCATAAAAGAACGCAAGTTTTGCTGCTAAATACGCGGGATATCCCGAATCAGCTGGCATTTCTGCCAATCTTCCGCTGATCTCCCGGAGTGCCTCAGCCCATCTGCTAGTTGAATCAGCCATCATACTCACGTTGTATCCTTGGTCCCTGAAATATTCAGCAATAGTAATTCCTGTATATATGCTCGCTTCACGCGCAGCTACTGGCATATTCGAAGTGTTAGCTACAAGAATAGTACGTTTCATAATGCTTTCACCCCGTATCTTAAGCTGTGGAAAGTCCATAAGCACCTCCGCCATTTCATTCCCCCGCTCACCACATCCCACGTACACGATAATATCCGAATTTGAGTATTTTGACAGGCTTTGCGATATCACAGTCTTACCGCACCCGAATGCTCCGGGAATGGCCGTGGTACCACCCTGTACACACGGGAACAATGAATCAAGAATCCGTTGTCCTGTAAACAGCGGATAATTGGCCATTAGTTTCTGCTTGACTGGACGGGGCGTGCGTACCGACCATTCATGGCTCATTCTCAACATGTACTCGCCGTCTTTTGTGATTAAACGCATCACCGTGTCCTTCAGCGTATACTCCCCTTCGCTAACGATAAAACTGACTTTACCCGCTTTATCAGGCGGAACTAGAATCCGGTGTTTCACCAGTGTATTTTCGTCAACCTCACCGAATATATCACCACCTTCGAGTACATCACCCACTTTCACTACGGGCACAAAGCGCCATCTTTTATTGCGATCTAATGCCGGGATGTCTACACCTCGCGGTATGAAAATCTCTTTCTTCTCAGCGAAGATGTCCCTTAAAGGCCGCTGTATCCCATCAAAAATGTTCTCCAATAGTCCAGGACCTAGCTCCACACTTAACGGTTTGTGCAATGGCACTATGCGATCACCTACTCTCAGCCCACTCGTTTCCTCATACACTTGGATAGTTACTCGATCATTATCAATTTTTATAATTTCGCCGAGTATTCCAATCGTGCCCACCTTCACAAGCTCAAACATTGCACAGCCGGCCATTTTCTCACCTATTACCACTGGTCCGCTTACACTATATATACGGGGAGCATCTTCATCTGTACCTTCTTCATTTTTAGTCGATTTTTGCATTTTATGGTAATCTAGGGTGTCAATAAATTTGAACTTTTCATCTTTTTTTGGTTCCCACATTTGATGTTACCTCGCTTATTATTAACTATCATAAATTTATAAACAACATGAAATATTTGAAACGTAAAATGAAATGTTTTAGCATGGCTCACCAAGTCATAAAAAGGACATTAAATGTACCATTAAAGACGCTAGCCCTCTATTTTGTTCTTCAGATGTTCGTATCGGTCCAAAACAATACCGTTTATTTGCTAACATGTCCTTGAACCTGTCTTTTTTACTCTATTTGCAAAGAAATTTATATCCTATACATACATCCTGATTACTCGTAATAATTTTAATTCTAAAAAGCTATTAGTGCTTAATAAAGATTGATTTATACCTTTGATGTAAGATCGCTGTACGATACGCTTTTCAGAAGGACAAGAGACTGCGTTCGTATGTTTTTTTAAATACAAATCCTTGTCCATTACCATGCAAAATTATGAGGTGCATTTATTGATCTTGAAAAGCATTTTAAGGCGTTTTATTCCAATAAAGTGTTCATAGTGCTGCTTCATGGCACCTTACAATATTTCAATGACAATTTCTTATTTTATTCCTTCTCATCTGGCAGCATGTATTTGTTATTAACCTATACTCTTACAATTGTACGTAGCAATTTAATAACCAATGCTCACATATGCAAACTCTTGTTATTTTGATTACTTTGACTTTGCTATATTGTTCATGTCAACTAGCCATGAAGGCTCATTATCAATGTAAATAAAAAAATGATTAGATCCACAAAGGCGTAAATGTGTTTTTCCATCTTTATTATTTTATTGCAAGCCAAACTAATACTTATTTGTTAAAAAAATCATAAACAAGGACAATTAAGTATTGTTTGCGAGCCAATTAACTGTTTAGCCTGTATCCGCTTGATTTTTGTCATTTTTACGTATTTTTATGACCTATTTCTGGTATTGCACGTAATTTACTCGAAATTACTGTTCAAAAAGTGTCTGATTTTAAATCGGGTGTGGACAAACATAAAATAGTGCAGTTTCATTGCACTAGGTTAATCGGTCCGAAGGAATTTTGTTTGCAAACACGAAATTAGTTACCAATTTAATCATTTTTTGGGCTTACACAAAGATATCTGCATGGTTATGATGCCACATCCCTTTTTTAACGAAAAAGACATCCTAGAACATCTTGCATCGGTAATCAAGTTTGTATATTTCTATATTTAATAAGTGTTTTTGTTCCTTTATGGCCGATTTCTGTTCACCCTTATGATCTACGTTCCAGAAAGCTCATCGTATCTCCTCAAGTTTATCACAAACAATAACTTTATAAAATGTCCTGATATTATCTTTTTCAAGGTGTCTTGTCATCCCAATAGTGTTTACACCATAAAAAGTGATGATATTGTACACATTTTCACGAAGAACGCGCATATGGTGTCAAAAGGAATGATATTCACTCTTAAAGATAATTTAAGCCTCGTAGTAAGGAGGCAATCGTACAAACTGAAGAAACAAAGGAGCACAAATATGCCGGGAATACACATCGTTGAGAAGGATGACATAGTCGTGTATGTGAGCGATATCATGCTGGACGGAAGCATAAAAGGAACTTATATATATTCTGACAACTGTTTGGTTAATGGGCTCGTAAGTAATTTGACGAATAACTTTCAAAAATACTATAGAGTCAAAAAATCAACAAGCTACGAAAAGGATCTGTTTTATTTGCTAAGACTGGCTAAAATAATATAATACGGCACATTCTTCACACCATATATAGTTTCATAATTAAAAATAACTGTTATGCCGTTACATATACTCATTTATGTAACTGCGTGTTGTCAGTGCTAAATAACCTGTTTTATTGTATGCACCATTGTATATAAGCAACTATTCACATGGTTGTTGCTCCATATACCAGCAATGCTTAATGTTTTACGTTAACACTGTTTTATTTCCTTATAACCATGAAATTTACAAAAGACGGTACATCGTTACTGGCATCCATCATTTTAACAAGATTATTCTCCGCAATCAACGATTCTTCCAGTCTTCTTTTGATGTTTTTGCTCTTTTCCTCTTCTTCACACTCCTTAGCAAATGATTTTCTGAACGTATGTGCAGGGGGAAACTTGGGCATGAAATCATACACATGTACATACCGATCAATGGTGGTCCCAAGCAAGGAGTCCGCAACTTGTTTGTCTTCTTCTCTGTCTTCAAGTAATTTTATTGGTTTTACTGTTATCAGAGACAATCTATGCGCTACTTTCAATGGAATGAATTGTTCTTTGAAGAAAGTCTGCAATTTCAGGATATCTAGAACGGTGGTTTTGGAGCGCTGAGAATGCAAAGTAATTGATTTGAGTGTTCTTAGATAATTTTTTATGGTACACGTTGTGGAAAGATAAAAAAGATTCAATGCTCGTTTCGTAACTGCGTCAAAGCCTACCTTCCTCAAATGAACAATCAGAATGTATTTAAGACACTCCTCCATTCAGAGGGGTATTAATATGTGGATATACAAATATTACACCAACAATGTGTTACCGTACACTTCGTTTAATCTGCATGTCAGTGTAGCGGATACTGCGATGTCCTTACAAACAAGCGTTCATTTATCTCTTCACCTAACAACATATCCAAACAAGCGCATTTTTTGGGTCTTCAGGCTTTCAGGATATCGATAAAATTTAGTGCGCCAACACATGTAACAACCCAGCGCCACTCCCAACCTAACAGAAATATATACAACAACCGCATTAACAACCCTAAAGTGCAACCCATGAGTTGCTCGACACTCCTCCAGAGAGGTGAATATTATAGTACAACGTAAAACATTTCAGAAAACATTAACCTCTTTAAAAAATGCGATTTGATTGATTTTATGAGCGAACAATAAATAAGCGACAGCTGATCACATGTAATAGAAGCTTTTAGCAAAGTATATTGGCGACTGGATGCCTTTGCCACAAAAAGCAAGGTCTTACATTTTGTTGCAATAGGTGTAAAACCGTATCAGAATTTCTCCATAAAATATGTAGAACACGTTACCAATGTGACTTAAATCGGCTTTTTTATACGAAAGAATGCAATCCACAAATCATCTGCTCATCTATACTTTGTGCTTCACCTAGCATTTAGGCATAAGTCTTCTCTCACAGTGATAGAAGCCGAAACAATGAATGTTTTCTGAGATTGCCTAAAAGCTGTCATACTTTGGACAATCGGCATTTTAAATATGATCAGATAGCTCAAAAATAGACAACATAGTTATTTTCACCTGTAAGTTTTGCAAAATTCACCACTTTTGCGGAGCACAAAAGATTTTGAAGCTCAGTTTAATTAATTAATTTACTGATAATATCGATCTTCAACAAAGTCGATGGACGAAACGTTCCCGATAACACTGTTTTCTTGGATGTGGTGGTTTACAGAGTTTAGGGCTATCCACTCGTGATTTGATGTCAGCGCAAGATGTTCAAGAAAATCAAAATTAATATATTTTGCCAGTACATCGATAAAACATAACACCCTTGGCTATTTAACTGTCTTAAACCATGTATATATACCTTCAGACTTAACACCGATGTAAATTTGCATAATTTGGCTTTTGGAGCTATGACATGTTCATCCACAGTACCAGGAATAAAATACACGATGATGTTCCCAAGACATGGTGAGAAAAAATTGTTCTCGCACGTAGCCATAAGAATATTCCATTATACTATGACTATCCCAGTTTGTAAAGAGTTATAAGCGAGGCGATTGCACCCTCAATGTACCAATTTCATCGTCACCAAATCTCTGGTTCAATATGTCTACATTATTTTACAGAAAGCCAAAAGTCATGTTTATATGCTTGAACAATAATCATGTCGATCGGCTCTCCAATATCAGCGCATGATAAATAATTTCCTTTGGTACTTTTTCAGATGATGCATCCATCATCATAGAATTTACAACCACAAGGTAAGTTAAATCTGGTGTTGCAGCTAACAATTTCGATAAAATTGTTCTGATCACCACTTTGCTAAGGATATGTGAGGAAATAAGCACAATTTCTTCAGAAATCACACTTTTGTCCTGTGCAAAATAACATTTTTTCAAAGCTATGACTACATCAGGATTATCGTCAAGGAACAGATATACAACATATGCAAGTAATTCTTCTTGATTTTTAAAGAGGAATATATGATCCATGGTACCACATACTTCTAAAAGGTAAATTTCTGAATATGCACCTAATACCTATATTACAGGGGCGTTGAAAGCAGTGAGTTTCTCATTTTCTTGGTAATATAATATTTAATACATGTTTTCGACATAATATCGCGAGATTTTGCGGAATTTCTTGTCTTTGCTCTGCTGATTATTTCGATAAAATTGAGTTCATTTATCTATTTCCATATTTAGGTCATTGAATTTTGCATTACCAGTTTAACCAGCTGATATTATAGCGGAATGAATTTTTTATAGTGAACTTGAGCACGTGCTTGCCATCAAAAACTGGATATCAAGTTAAATTAACAATGAATTATCATAGAATGAAATTACTGATTTTATTGGCGATCCGGACAGTGGGAAAGTTTATAATTAAACCATAATCAGATAATTACATTTTTAATTATTCCAGATGAACCGATTAATATTGCATTTCAAAATGTTTCTGGATAAAAAATCAGTAGTAATAGATCACATCTAATGATTTCTAGCAAATTACTTAATTAAAGTATGTTATGTGATGTTTTAAAACATGTTATTACCAGAAGATATTGAAAATACTCATTAGCTCTGTTACAACAATACGAGCACGTTAAAAGTTGTGAATGAGTGGGCATTATACGAGGTGCATATTTGCTTGTATAGTTTAAGCAAGACGTGTGATAATTAACTGGTAAAGTGTATGCTCATAAATGCATCTTTCTAGTTACAATATTCCAGTTCATAATTGTATTACCATGAAATACACCAACTAATGAATTTCGAGCAATAATTTTAATACTTCAACAAAAAGAACACGAGATACTCAAAATCACATGTGAAACCAGCAAAATGCGTCATGAAGATACACATGCGTCCTGCGAAAGATTAAGAAGGAAATTAAACATGCGAAATAAACGGCATAATACATCTGCCTGATGTTAAAAATATATTTATTTTTATACGATCTGCGCTATTTGTTTATAAACAGTACTTATGACAGCACAAAGTCAATGATATAATGAAAAATATGTGGTGTTATCTTCCAAGACAACACATGAACGGCAAGCTAGCATTTAAGCTTGTGCTTAGAGTTTTGTTTACGGGGATAATAATGTCTGAAATGAACTTAAAAGAATCGAGTAACTTTTTATTTAGAGCGATATCATGGTTTACACACTCGACCGTTCGTGGTCCAAGTTCTTCTACGTAGTGTGGTAGACATCTTACCGGATGAACAAGTACCAACCTCGGCTTATAGAGCAATGATGATACAAAAGGAAGCATAGCTGTAAAAGATAGCTGCTGAGTTGATTATTGGGTTGTATAGTATTTTATGAAGTGCTGCAGACAACATAAAATTACAGCACAAGACAGCAACGAAATGCCTCAGCGACTGATTTTGTGGTAGTAAAA